GACATCATTAGAATTCTTCCTGACTGACTCCAATGGACTTCTCCTGAGTTCTTTATTTAAAGCATCTTGCCAAGTTCATTTGTGTTACTGGGGTGTTTTATTTATTCCACAACACATGCACACTTTGGTTTCCAGTAGCTAATCAGATCCCTGGATAATTCTGGCTAAAACTTTGGCCTTATCATCAGTGTGATCAGAAATCATGAACCAGAACATCAACAGAGATCCCAACATCAACACTGGAGACTGATGTAATGAATATGCATACACCTGGGTTTCCCCTCACAGTAATATGATTGGCTGGTGTCAACCATAAATACAGACTGATGTGGAGGTACAGGGAGACGCCTATTGACGACGCCTATTGCCTACGACTACGACGAGGACCAGTCCATTACGGTTACCTGCTAGATTGTCCTACCCGGTTACAGTAGCAAACAACCACTTTTCTACTTCAAACAAATATATCCCTTTCTGGGACATACCAGTTGGCGACAAGATTCGAAACGACCTCACAAGTTAAAACAAAAGAAAAAAAAATATACAGTTGACAACACTTACTAATGAATAACGTTAGAAAGACTTGTTCGACGCTTACAGAAAGTAAGTAAATTTTCCCTCATTTTTGTTTTAACGCTTATTAACGAGGAACGTTAGAAAAGGAAAAACTTGTGCAACGCTTACAGAAAGTAAGAAATTGCTCCCCCCACTCTTGTTTGGACTTAGAAAATTTTAATGTCTACATAAATTGGAGAAAAAATTTTCTTGTGGATACGTTGGCAGAATAGAACAAATTGCGGAATTAACTAAGGTGATACAAGTCACTTTACAGCAACAATTCCAACAACAACAACAACAATTTATTCAGCAACAAGAAAGGTTTGAAAAGTTATTCAAACAACAGGTAGAAGTTGGGAACAGAAGAAAATACAAAATATGCGAATTTAATCCTCCCATAGAAGCCAGAAGAAATTACATTCAGCGAAACAGTAGAAATTTTGTCGACGAAAGAGATAGTCTATTTCATACACGATACAAATGTCTAAATATCGTAAAACAAGAGGATGATGATTTTGTCACGTATGCAGGTATGGTTAATGCACAGTGTGAGGCGTTTAAATTAAAGGAATTGTCAAGTGACATGTTCAAGTGTCTAATTTTTGTGCAGGGTCTAACGACACCGAAGGACAAAGAAATTAGATCAAGAATCCTCACTATCATGGAACAAGATCCGAAAATTACGCTACAAAAAATAACGGAAGAATGTCAGCGACTTACAAACATAAAAAAAAGATAATACTTGGATTGGGGAGAAGAGCATTTCGCGAGTACAAACTGTAAGACAACAGAAGTGGATACAAAATAAAGGAAGAAAAATGATATGCAGTTCGTGTGGAGGACAGCATATAAAGAAGGATTGTTTCTTTAGGGATAAAATATGTTTTAATTGTGGGCGTGTAGGCCATAGAAGTTCCCATTGTCGGGCAAAACAGAGAAAAGTAAAAGCAAAGTCGCAAACAAAGGTGAACGTAGTTTTGTCCAAAAACGAAATTGAAGAGGGTCAAAGAAGAAAATACCTCAATGTAAAAATAAATGGGCAGACCATAAAATTATTACTCGATTCAGGAAGTGATATCTCGGTAATAAACGAACAAACATGGGAAAAAAATCGGTTACCCGCCGTTGACTAACACAGACAAAATTGCCATGGGAGTGTCAGGAAAAAGACTTAGGTTTAGAGGTGAATTAAAATGTAACATTGCGTTCATGGGAATATTCACAAATCGAAAGTGTATGTGTTCCCTGGTTCAGTAAACCTCTTTGGTACAGATTGGATCGTATTGTTTAATTTATGGGAGTTGCCGGTGAATTCTTTCTGTAACAAAGTTAACGTCATAGAGAACTATAAGACGAAGCAAACAGAAAGATTTATTACGGATTTGAAAGGTGAATTCCTTGCGTTTTTTCAGAAGGACTAGGTCTGTGCACAAAAACAGAAGTCGACTTCGAATTGAAAGAAAATGTTAAACCAATCGTTAAACCAAAGAGAAAAGTACCCTTTTCGGTACTAGACACAATAAATGAGGAATTAGAAAGGTTGGAGAAAATTAGCGTAATTTCAAAAGTCGATTGCTCGGATTGGGCGTCTCCAACCGTATATATAAAAAAGAAAAATCGAAAAATCAGTGTGTGCTGACTTTTCGACAGGTTTAAATGATTGTGTGAAAGACCATACGTACCCTCTACCGTCTACGGAGGATATATTCACTAAAAATTAAACGGAGGTAGAGTGTTTTCAAAGTTGGACTTCTCGGAGGCTTACCTTCAGGTTACCGTTAAAGTCAGTGAAGAATGTTCGAAGTACCTGACAATAAACACACATAAAGGGATTTTAAAACTAAATCGTCTTCCTTTTGGATTGAAGGTAGCTCCAAGCCTATTCCAGCAAATAATGGACACAATGTTGGCTGGTATGGAGTATGCAATCGCATATTTAGATGATATTTTGATTAAAAGTGAAAACGAAGCCCAACACAAAACGCATATTAGAGCGGTATTTCAGAGAATTGAGGAATACGGGTTCAAGTTGAGTGCTGAAAAATGTGAGTTCTTCTTAAAGAAGATAAAATATTTAGGGCAGATTATTGACAGTAAAGGAAGAAAACCGGATCCAGAAAGGGCTGAGGCTATAAAAAAAATATGCCAGCACCTGATAATGTGGCTAAACTCCAGGCCTTCTTAGGATTAGTAAGTTACTATAGCATTTATATTCCAAAAATGTATTATATGCGAGCTCCGTTAAATAATTTGGTGAAAAAGGGCGCAAAGTGGATATAGTCGAAAGAATGCGAACAGGCTTTTAAAAAAATAAAAAAGCTGTCTATTAGCAGACCTATCGTTAGCGCATTTCGATCCGAAGAGGAAAATCATTGTAGCAGCAGATGCCAGTAATGAGAGACTAGGTGCAGTATTGCTTCATAAATTCGAGGACGGATCTACGAAGCCAATAGCACGTGCCTCGAGAACGTTACTGCTCGTGGAACGAAGTTACAGTCAAATCGAAAAAGAGAGTTTAGCAATAATCTACGCTGTAAAAAAATTTCACAGGTTTCTATACGAAAGAGAATTTATTCTGCAAACAGACCACAAACCGCTGATAACAATATTTGGTTCAAAAAAAGGTATACCAACTCACACAGCAAATCGACTACAGCGTTGGGGTGTAATTCTATTGAACTATAATTACAAAATAGAATATGTGCCTTCAAAGAAGCTAGGTCACGCCGATGGCTTATATACGGAACCACTGGAAGAAACAGTAATAGCGACGCTAAGAGACGAAAGTGAATTGTCGGATCTGTTATGCAACACTATTAGTTAGAGAACTTGTCGGAGTTAACTCCTCCTTTAGTTCGTTAACCCTTTCACCAGGGGTCTCTCTTCCCTGGCTATAAATAGCCGCTGACCCTTCGCTTCCCTCTCTTTTTCCCTCAGGCCTGTGCTCCGACACCTTGAGGTAAATCTCTCTTTTTCCTCAGGCTTCCAGCCTTACCACCTCAAAAATGTGAACGCTCACCAGAGATAGCGTTTCCCAAAAATGCTGGGAACACGCTAAGCACAATACACACACACACAAACGCACATATATAATATTCACACACACTTTGTCCTTTTGTAACTGTTTCTATGTAACCTGTTATTAATATATATATTTGTATACATATATTATCGGTCTTGTGTTTTGTTTGTTTTCTTTGCATTCTTTGGACTTAATTAAAAGTCCAACTTTCTTGTGTAGTTGAACCGGCTAGCAGGAAAATCTGAACCCACATGTGTTTCTTCTACTTCTACTCAACAACATTACAGCCACGATCCACTACAAACTACCGGTTCGCTGGATGATGTGAAAAAAGCAGCGGTGAGCGATGATTTCATAAAAAAAAATAATGAAAAAGCAAGTCTTGTTGAACGAGAAAACTAAAAAAGGAATTAGTGTGTCACCTTTTTCAATCTTCGAACAAGTATTACTATATGCAAATAGAGTTGTAATGCCGGTTACTCCGCAAAAGAAAATTCTGAAAGAATTTCACACTGGCCATCCAGGGATTTCGAGAAGGAAATCGCTAATGAGAGGCTATATTGGCCGAGGGTGGACCAAGACATAGAAAATTTGGTGAAACAGTGCAGAGGTTGTCAACTGGCAGCAAAGGATCCACCAGTAAAGATTCAACCATGGCCAAAGACAGATGTTCCATGGACTCGATTGCATATCGACTATGCTGGGTCGATAAATGGATCGTATTACCTGATCATTGTGGACAGTTTCACTAAGTGGCCAGAAATTGTTAAGTGCAGACATCCGACTGCAACAAATACAATAAAGGCACTTAATGAAATTTTTAGTCGCTTTGGACTCCCTAAAATTTTAGTCAGCGACAACAGAACGCAGTTTACGGGAAGAGAATTCAAGGAATTCTGTACATCGTTGTCCATTGATCACGTGACAACGCCAGTCTGGCAGTATATCATCCAAGATCGAATGGACAGGCGGAAAAATTCGTGGACACGTTTAAACGAGCGTTGAAGAAAAACCAAGGCGTGGACACGAATGAAAGAAGTATTCAGAAATTCTTGGTAGTATATAGAATCACGCCAAACCCGAATACGACGTCAGGGTTATCGCCAGCAGAGTTAATGTTTTTGAGAAAAATACGCTCTGTGTTCGACAGACTGTTGCCTAGTCTGGCGAAGAAAACTGCTAAAAAAGAAAACCAGATGACTAAAGAAAGAGTATAAGCCAGGTGACAAAGTTTTTTTCAAGAACTTTAGGGCTGGAAAAATGTATTGGGAAGAAGGAATGATAACCAAAAGAATTGAACATGTTATATATGACATAAAAGGAGAAAAATTTCGGTGCAAAAGACATTGGAATCAATTGAGACCCAGACACATTACAGAGGTCACAGAAAATACCGAAGAGATTCCAGTGGAAGTCCTGT